TACCTAACTAATATATATATATATATATATATATATATATATATAGCTTTGGGTCTTGTCAATGACACTCTTATAACCATCCGAGTTGAAATTTGATAGACAAGCGTGATTATGACCTCCTTCTACCAAAAGTACATGATCTCTTCATATACTTTTCCTTTTTGTTTTACACTAATGGTGCTGAAAGATGCAAACACTGTCACAAGAGTATGCAACCGTACTATGCATCAACGTTATTCTAAAAACATTATTCATGCAACAAAATAAGGTCTCAAGGGTTCTGTGGAGAATCCAAGAGTGGCCAGCCTCTGGCCCATGCCCCCAAGCGGAATTGGGCTGAGCTATGAACAAATGAATAAAAGAGAAAAAAAAACAGAGGGCTGGACCGACCTGGCCCATGGCTTAGGCCCTACTTTTTAGGGCTGGGCCACCTGACTCATTGCCGGTCCACAACTTCCAACAAATGTACCCTAAAACATGTCCACAAAAATAAATAACTCCTAAAACATCTCATGGCCAAATACAAAACAATAGAATAGAAGAGTTTTTTTGCCAGAGTTTTGATGATTACCCACCCTGCATAATGTTTAGAAGGAAATTGGCCATCAAAGCCCGGAAAGCGCGACACCTCCGCACCATCAGGCATTGTTAACATAGAGTAAAAGCATTGGAAAGCGATGATGATGGTGAGGAAAAAGCAGTGTGATGAAAATTGAAATAGAACAGACATGGCTGTCTCAGTTGTGAAGATTAAAACCTGGTTATTCCAATCCCCACTTATGTATACCACATGCGCTGATTAGAATGGTGAAATAATGGGGAGTTAATTTTCCTAGGAAGCTCATTTATTATCTTTTCCATGAATAACTTTCCCATGCTTATCTCTTTATTTTTCCCTAAATAGTTTCAACCGACCTTGGATACATATTAGGAATGTTACGCAGTTGGTTCGGGACCCGATCTAGACTTGCATTGGGTCTAGGTCCATCTGGGTCTAGAAAGAGAAATATTAATGAACATAAGTCAAGGCCTTGGATGATATGAGTTAATTGGTTGGGTCGCCCTTGGCCAAGACGAGTTACTAAGCCGAGTGTACTCGCCTGAGTGGGCCAAAACCTATAGATGTATTGAAAAGAGAAAAAAAAATTTTAAAAATAAAATGGAGATACCAAAACTTATATAAAATTAAAGAGAAACTTAAAAAACTCCAAATATTAAAAAAGTGTAAAAAAATAGACTCAAACAATTAATTCATAATTAGGGACATTTTAAAAATCCAAAAAAAAAATGTAAAAATAAAGATTATAACAAAAAACTCACAAATCTTTATCAAAAATTAAAAAATTAAATATAATTTTTTATACACGTTATATAGAATGTTTTTGGGATTTTTTTGAATGTTTTATTTCAAATACTTGATAAACACAAATCGAGATAATATGTTCTCTCCTTTACTTGCATACAATACATCATTTCATACATCATACTCACTTAAACATACAATCATCCTCCCATATACCCTAGT